TATATATATATATATTCGTGCAACAATTTTTTTCTTTTAGGTGTTCTACATACAATTTGTTTTAGCTGCTTTGGAGCAGTCATCTTGAGATAACTCTATTTTTTGATCTCATAGTACATATGTTTCCTTTTTAAATGATAAAATTATTTTCTTATCTTAAGATGAATATGTCCAACTTATACAAGAGATTATGATTCTACCTATAATTTCAAGAGATTTACATATTGATTTTGAGACCTAAGTTCTAACATCATTTGAAAGTAAAATCTTGCACCTAAAGATTAGCTAACTCAATTATCTGATAAATTTTTCTTCTGATATATATGAAATAACTTTACTTTGCATAGCTATAGTTTATTTTTAGCCATTTTGCCATGACTATAGGAAATTTGTATCATTATTGTTTCTTTATGTTTTTACTAATTGCACAATCCAAATAGCAGTTTCACCTCATATATAACAAATGAAAGTCTACTTTGATTTATCTGGCATGCAAAATCGAGACAGATTAGATCTGTCTAAAATAGCTAAATGGAACGTCAGCAGAATAATCTAAGTTTATCATTAATGAAATTTCAAGCAATAAAATATCTAAGCACTTTTGTGGAGCAAGGTTTCTTTCTTTATACTTTTTAAAATTTTATTTTATAACTCAAATATTTATTTTAATATTTGTGTGATATTTTAAATTATTTATTAATCGATATAGGATATACGCAATGCGTGTCCATATACTAGTGCTTGTAATAAAGACTAATCTATATTTACCTTATAAGAAACTTTATTGTGCAAATATATTTGATACCACACTTAAACTCAGACAAAGATAAAAGAAAATTGGTAAATTATGTACTCCAGCTGTACATAAATAATAAGAAAGAAAATAAAAATATTGAAAATGAGACTGACTTAATTTACTATCCCTTTCGAATATGAAACACTGTAATTCATTTATGGACGACAACAACGTTATCTGCTGAAGTTGACAAAGACGTTTCTCCTTGTGTTTGCACTTGTTTTTCCTTTCTGAACCTAAAGACATAAACAAACGCGGAAACTGCAAGCAAAACAATACCGGTTGCTCCACACACCAAGCTGGAAATCAATAATGCTCCCCTCACGTTATCTTTACTGCTGTGGTGAACTGGCATTCCTCCTCTGTCGCCGCCAATCCACGTCAAGTTCTTTGCAATCGGCAGCGCCACCGGCGGCTGAGCATTCCGTCGGCCACCGCCGCCAAAGAATGAGAGCATCTCCGGAACGTCGTCGTTTGTTGTTGGTGTGGATGAAAAGTCTTGATTTGTCAACCCGTGCTCCGCTGGACGGAGCTCTCTACCGTTGGATTGCAAAGACATTATGGACAATAATATCATAAATGTGATGATAACAACGTTTTGGAAATATTGCCTCATTGTAATTTTCCAGGTGTGGTGTTATTTAAGGTTTGTGTCTCTCTCTTGATTGTAGAATGAAAAAAAGTGGTAATACTGATATATGAAATTTTTTGTTGTGTGCTATAAATGAAGTGGGAGGTCATGTGGTAGTTAGCCAGTTTGTCAAATTCCATAATCCATACAAAGGACGCGTGATTTCTTGTCGGCTCAGACTGAGAACAGATTTCGGGAAAAGGGTATATTTCGTTTGGTTTGTTAACTGGATTAACGAATTCTTTGGTTAAAGAAGTTTTACTTTATCAAATTGCTTTTAAAAATATTTACATAAAAGTGAACTAATAGCCTTTGGCCAAGTTTCTTCGAGCTGAAAAAATACTTTTTTTTTTATTTTATATAAAGTTGAAGTGTTTGGCCAAATTTTTAGGAGAAAAAAAGATGATTTTGAGTAGAAGTAGAAACAGTTTTGAATAAGTAGAAAAAAGTAATTTTTTCTCGGAAGTATTTTTTTGAGAAGCATTTTTAAGAAAAATACACTTAGAAACACTTTTTAAAAGCTTGGCCAAACACTAATTGCAGCGTAGAAGTGTTTTTCAAATTAATTAGTCAAACATAAACTACTTATTACCTAAAGTACTTTTGAAATTTTTTTTTTTGACAAAATAAGCAGATTTTTCCAGCTTAGCCAAACAGATTATGCATGTGCTCCATGGTTACTTGGCGCTATTCAACCATGTACAAAAAAATAGATGCTATGATATTTTGTGACTATAAAAGTATTGTAATTAAGGATAAAATAAAAATTAAAGTTAAATTTCTTTTAAATGAATGGATTTTCATAATGTCTCAACCAATATACATATACATAAAATTCTCGACTTCTCTAACATATTTTATACCTTAATTTTGTATAACTCTCACAAGTTTTGAAAATTTAAGTTCATTTAACTAATCAAATTAAACTCAGTTATAAACCAACTTTTTAACTAACAAGTTATTTTCCTTAATTTGCGTACCAAACACCGGAAAATGAATAAGATTACTACTTATTTTTCAAGAAACCATTTTCTTGGAAAACATTTTTCCCAAACGCACCCCAAGTCTTAAATATTTTGGATGAGGATTAATTAAGTTAAGCATGCTGCTCCTTGTGAATCGGAAATTTTTTTTAAAGAAAAAGAGAGTGAGGGGGGGGG